AATTGATAGGAAATCTGACCAAACTGGGCTTTGATGTTAGTTACCATTATTTCTCATTTATTTAATTTTTTATATTTACAATTCTACCAATTTCGAAATGATGATTCTCTCGTAAATCACAGGTATAAATCTCATTTCACTTTCAATTATTTAGCGCTAACTTCTAAAGTATGGCATTGAATGACATGAGAAACTCTGAATATCGTTTTAATCTCAAAACGTCGTCCATATGTTTTTAATTCATAGACATGTCGTGTGTTGGCGCTTTATTTGAGAATTGTTAATTTGTTCTAATTTTTCTTTCAAATTTGTTTGTTTAGCAAAAAGGGTTGTGCTACAAATCACTTATTTGTTCTATTATGTTACAAGTTGCTTTTGACATTTATAGCTTTGATTTTTTCGTTTCAAGTTATTTTTAAATTTTTTAATAATTAATTTGTAAAAGATTGCTACCTACCTGCTAATTTTTCTATCAACCTACCGCTTCGCTTACGAACAAACTTTGATTTTTAATATTTAATAAATTATATTAATAATTAAAATTTTTCGAGTGGTAGATTGCAGATAGTCATAGATAAATAAGATAGGCACTTGACATTTATTTATATGATTTAATTAAATTTTATATACTATATAAAATAAATAAAAATATACTTAAGTATAGAATAGAGAGAAGAATAGTGTTGACAAGCTTTGTGCCGTTTGCCCTTTGAATTTGTATTTCTAGTTTCTATCAATCAAATGAAAATTAAAAAAGTTTCTTGCTCCTATCTAATAATAATAATGCTAATCTTAATAATCTTGTAACTTACTAAAACTAACTGGTTAGGGATAAGTTGCTGAATGAACGATAAACAGTGACAAGCCAGTTTTTATTAAAAGTGTGAACATTTTATAAACATTTTGTTTAATTAAGCTCGATAGTTGCTTCCAAGTTAGCAGTGATGATGGGAAAAAGCAGATGCTTGATTTTGTCCTGGTTGCCAGTTGCGAGAAGATGAAGGACAAGTGGGTGCAGATGTTGAGGGAGTGGGTAGGTCTCATTGAGGAGGATGTTCAATCATTGTTCGTTCATTTCAAGATGTTTTGGTTTTTTTTTCTTTCTTTTATTAAATTTCAAATTATTCATTTTCATGTTTTCTGATTGAAATATTTTATAGAATATAAAATCAATCAAAATATTTTAAACAATTTTTTTTAAATATTTAAGATGGCTAAAACATCTCCTGAGTCTTAACGATGGTGATGAATTGGATGAAAAAAAGTTTAAGATAGATGATGTTGTGAATGCTTTGAAGGAAGCAAAGAGATCTCTATCACCATTTTATGTCATGCACACTTTTGAGGTCTGTTTTGCATCACATTTCGTAACAACTTTCTGCATTTTATTTTGCACACATTTTTTTTGTTCTTTTATCACTTGTTTCATCTTAAAATTATTTTTTAATTTTTGAAATTTCAGTTCAATCTTTTTATAGTACCTAAATACAAGACATTTTCAAAACACAATTTTAACGTTACATTACAAAAAAAGGCACTGAAAAAGGTGGAAGGCACGTTCAAATGTAAGAAATGTGTTCATGGTGTGATTAATAGGACGGACGCAAGGACGGGGTTAAGTGGTGGTATTGAAAGAGTGGAAAGCTTTGTTTACTTAGGGGATAAGCTGAACGCAGATGGAGGATGTTTGAGCGCAGTTACGGCTAGAGTTCGTGTGGGATGGATGAAATTTAGGGAACTGGGTGGGGTATTGTGTGGAAAGAAATTGTCAGTGATGGTAGTGAAACTTGGGTGTTGAGGAGAGAGGGGCAAAGTGTACTGCAGAGGGCTGAAAGAGCTATGGTGAGGATGATGTGTGGGGTTAAAGTGAAAGATAGGAGGAGTAGTACAGAGCTGATGTCGATGATGGGACTGAATGAGGACATTGTGACATTGATAAGGAGATCGAGATTGCGGTGGTATGGACATGTGTCGAGAAGGGATGAAAGGGTCGGGATTAGGCGAGCGTTGGAGTTCGAGGTTGAAGGAGTGGTAGGTTGGGGTCGTCCGCGATTGGGATGGAGAGAGCAGGTGGAGAAGGACAGGGTGAAAGCAGGGTTGCGTGATACTGAGGCGAGTGACAGATGTGGATGGCGTCGAGGGGTATTTCGGTTTCATCATAGGTAGCCAAACGGCAACCCCCGATCTCGGGGAAAATGTCGTCTAAACGTGTGTTGTTGTTTTTGTTTATTACAAAAACATTACCTATTGAATTTTCTGTGACCAATTAACCATTAAAATTTCAATTTAATCCTTTTATAATACCTAATTAGACACTTCAAACCTCAATTTTAATATTACCAAAACGTTACTTATTGTGCAACCAATTGTGCAACCAATGAACCGTTAAAATAAAATGAATCATACACCAGCACGTCAACCAGGTCACAGCTACAAACAGTTCATCCATATCGTACAAAGGAGGTCAGATCCTGAAGCAAGGACTCGACCACATTTCCAGCATTAAAAATAAAATTAAGAAGGAAGATGAGAAAATTGAGTCAAAAATGTTGCACAATTTTGCAACACTAGTGCAAATCTTCAAGGCCTTTGCTACACCTCCTGCCATGGATGTTCTCTTTAAAAGGTTGTTGTTGTTCTTTGTTACTGCTGCTGGGATTGTTATTTTGTTGTCGTTATTGTTACTATTGATGTAATTGTTGTTTTTGCTGTCATTTTTTGGACATATTTGTTTTTATCATTGCATTGTGTGATGTTATTAGTGGTTTGTTTATTCAAATACTCCTATATGTCCTAATTTTGTTTTGCTAGATGTGAGTTTGTTATCAATGTTTTGTGTTGTTTGAAGATTGTTGTCCTAAATTTTGTTGTTGTTTGAGGATTGTTGTCATAGACTTTGTTGTCATGTGAAAGATTGTTGTTCTTGTTGGTGATGCTGTTGGTATTGTTGTTATAAATGTTATGTTGAATATGATATTGTAGATGTATATTGTAAACAAGTTGCAGTAGCTGTAATGTAATGAGTTTGTTTTTTTCATAATTATTGGATCTGTGATTGTTGAAGGATAATAATGATAAGGATAATTATTATGAATATTAATGGATGTTAATGCTAAATGTAAACCTTCATGTTATTAATATCATTTTTGTTTTTTCTTGATAATTTTGTTTTTAGAGGATTACAATTAATTTGTAATAAAGCTTGTAGTATTGTTTATATTATTCTTTCAGTAATGGTTGCAATTGATACTGGCTTAATTATAACTCTGATTCATTGAATGATGTGTACATACACAACACATATACGCCCATTTGTGTACGCACGCACGCACGTACACATACATAACACACAAACGTGCAGAGACTGTTAGCAGCATACTCGTTTAATTTTTAATGTTAAATTTCTATTAGATTTTTATTATTTAAAATTGTGAGATTTGTGCATTTATTGTGCAGAGTAGTAGTTTGAATAAATGAATACTAACCCCAAAGTTATTTCAAATAAATATGTTTTTTTACTGATTCTTCAACTTTTAAAGTCAAATGCTCATTTATTTGTTCATTCATTGCAAATCAGTTGTATGGTTGGTTGGTTGGTTGGTTGGTTGGTTGGTTGGTTGGTTGGTTGGTTGGTTGGTCGGTTGGTCGGTTGGTTGGTTGTGTGAATTTGAAGCTGAACAACGCCCGACACAGGCAATGGATTGATTACTTCATTCAATCTCTGTGCACTGTTCATTCAGTTACCTGATTGATTTATGCAGTTCTATGATGCAAATAATGATCCTCAAACACTGCTGATGTTGATGTTGTTCATTGTGCCTGTCTGTTGTTTGCATGTAAACAAGTTAATGTATTTAAAAAAATTTTATCAATATTTTTTAAGAATTCCAGGCAGACGCAAAAAAGCCCAGAACATTCCATTGAAGAAATTTCAAACTTTTCTGGTGGATGTACAGAGAGTATGTGTTCTGCTGTTATGTGGTGGTGATGTTGATGATGATGTTGTTTAAGACGATGATGATGATGGTTATGTTGTTTAGTATGATGATGATGTTGTTTAGGATGGTGAGGATGATAATGGCGCAGTTGGTATTGTTGAAAAATATAATTTTCACTATTTCTCTGAGTCACATTTAGCCTATACATGTACAATACATGACTAGTATAAACATGATGATGTGAATGGATTTTACGAAATAAATTTTTTTAATATGAAGCAGTTGTAGATAATGATTAAAATGTTGGAATGGCACTTTTTGTTACTCTCTATGATGTAGATTAGGTACAAACCTATATTTTTCTCCTCTGCTGTCTAGTTAAAAAAAATTTTGTTTCTCGTTTGGAAAATTGCAAAAATTAAATGCAAATCTTTGATGAGAAGAACAAATTTTTATTTGTGAGCATTTAGGAAATATGTAAAACTTGCAAATAAGATATGTTTGCTCTCAATAATTTTGCTTTCCAAAAAATATTTTAAAAGTTTGTATTACTGATTACAACATAACAATGTTGGTGATGATGAAACTTGGAATCATAATGATGGTGTTGATAAGATGATGTAATTGAATTGTTCATCAGGAAAAGAAACAAGCAAGGGAATGCTGCCAAAGCATTCTCAAAGTTGAACCCGTTCTGAAGTGCTATAATCTTTCCATTGCTGGTTGGTTTGCTCATTGATTGGTTGGTTGGTTGGCTAGTTGATTGGCTGGATGACTGGTTGACTTTTTGGTTGTCTGGTTGGTTGGTTGACTGGCCGGCAGATTGGTTGGTTGGTCAGTTGCTTGGCTGGCTGGTTGATAGTTTGATAATGTTTTTTGTAATTTTTTAATGTTAGATGAACTAGTAAATGCTAATATGATTAATTCTAACACAAATAATGCTAAAATGAGTTAAGAATAAAGATATTGAAAATGAAACAGTTTAAATATGATTGGCTGACAGGTCTTGCCAACTTCATGTTGAATTCTGATCAGCTGATTGTCGACAGCCAATCACAAGACAACATGGATTTTCCACTATCTTATTATTACATTGCCTCATCGCATAATACGTTTGTAACATTTTCATTTTTTTGTTTGCAGATTTAAAAATTTTTCTTATAATTCTAGCTCTACCACCTTAGTTATCATAAGTTGAAGAAAGTGATGATGGCCACTTTGTAACTTTCGTGATTCTAAATAATGATAATGATGAAGAAGATGATGATTGTGAATGTGATGATGCAACAGATATTTAACAAAAGACCAGTTGAAGAGCAAGAGTAGTGTGGAGATGTACGTGCGTGCTCTGCAAAGAGGATGCAAGTGTTTGGAGCGTATGTTGTTTTTTTCTCTCTACGTTTCTTCATTCTGCTTGTTTGTTTGATTTTTCCTCCGTTTTATTGTTTGTGTTTCTTTTTGAATATTTTGTTTTTCTTTGCATGAATGTTTGAATGTATGTATGTTTGTGTGTATTTTGTTATAATTTTTTATGCTCAATACTTTAAGTACTGGTCTTGGCGTAACATAATTTTCTGAAGAAGCTCTACATTTAGTAACCAGCAATACAGTTTCAACAACAACCACAGCAACAAACTATAATTGCAAAAAACATCTACTGCATACAAAACAAACGACTTCTTCAACAAACATTGAGTTGTTTTTTAAAAAAGTATTTACCTATTTGGCAGTTGATCTGTAAGACATGTATTTACATATTTGGCAGTGGATTGTTGGGATGGTCCTGATAACGAGCCAGTCATATACCATGGCTACACATTTACATCAAAGATTCTATTCAAGGATGTCGTGCAGGCCATCAAGGAGAATGCATTCTGCTGCTCAGAGTTTGTCACTGTCGTATCTGTTTGATGTTTTGCTTGCTATTGGTATGTTGTTACTGTCATTGCCGTTTATTTGTATGTTGTTGTTTTTGTCATCGTTGTCCTCATCATCGTCATTCTTATCATCATCACGCCATTATCACCAGCACACCGTCATTCTCATTGCACATGCACAGGTATCCAGTTATCTTATCACTGGAGAATCATTGTTCAATTTCAGAACAGAAAGTCTTGGCTCAACATCTCAAAAATATTCTTGGAGGTGGGGATGATAGTGTTGTAAAAATATGTAATGTATTATAATTAAATAATGATGACAGCAAGATAATGTTGTGATTAAACTATTGCTATTAAAAATTAAGACCTGCTCTACCTAACTGCCATTCCGACTGATGAGTCACAGCTCCCATCGCCTGAGAAGTTGAAAGGGAAAATTATAGTTAAGGTAGTTGTTGATCACATTGCTGCTACTTTTAAATTTTTGCTGTTAGTTGTCAGTTTGGCCGTATCCTCTTTTCGTTTGTTCTTTATAACGCTCAATTGACTCAGATAAACGAAGCTTAAAACATAAAAATTAACCCGAAGGCAAAGAAAATCAAAGAGATCTCCATGACAGGTAGCAACAGCAGCCTCAACAACATTGGCAACAACAACGACGACGCCACTTCGACTCCCAGCAACGACACCACCTCCAACAACACGTCATTGTCATCGTGGACAGACGAGGAATCGGGCGTCTACACCGTTGAGGACTTCAGTGACGATGAGACAGAACTCTCGGAGATTGACATCTTGAAGGAACTGCGCAAGGACTACACCAACTACGACACTTCTGACGTCGTAAGCATCGGATCTCTTGAAGATGACGAAGATGCTGAAACTAAGGAGTCAGTTAAACAGAAGAATGATGAAAGGTTGCAGATGCTTCTAGAAGATTACAAAGCTGCCAACCTCAATAAGAAGGAATCTAAAAAAAAGGTTGCATGCCTCTCTGTTGTTCTCAAGTATACTTTAAAATATTTATTCAGTGCTAGAAAATGCTATAGGAATGTGAAAGAAAGTGTAAAATTGGAACTAATTACTTTCAATAATTTGTATTGCTATTTCTCATAGTGTATCTATGTATCTCTATTTAAGTTTTCATCTTGCTTAACATTATTTATTAAACTTGATAATTGTTTGTAATAAATTAATGGTTGTGGAACAGTTTGAAAATGCCAGCGCATGAAATTGTTGCGCAAGTTAATCATGTGGGGGTACATCATATGATGGCATTATTATATAATATTTAACTATGTTGTAACATGATATGATTATTAAATAATAATAGTTTTATCATTTGTTGTAATTATGTTATAATATTTTCCATTATATCATATTATAATTATAATATTTTTGTTTGTGGCATAGGTTATAAAGATGGCTAAGGAGTTGTCCGACTTGATTGTTTATTGCCAGGCGAAATCATTCAAGAGTTTTGACAGCAGCAAAAATAATGGTTGTTGTTTTCGTTTATATTGTTGCTTATATTGTTTTAGATGTTGCTTACATTGTTGTTTTGTTTACCATGTCAATTGTAATGTTACTAATAAGGCTGTATCTGTTGTTGTTTATATTGTTGTCATTTTTAATGGTTTTGTTGATGTCTGAGGTTGTTGTCAACAATAATTTTTTTTAAAAAAGTAACATTTTAAATGGAGCTGTTTTTCTTTTTTTTTGTGGTGTTAGCTGGTTTTTGTCGTCAGTGGCAACTATAGTTAAGTTTTATTATTCAATTTAATTTTGTTGTTTTTATTTAAAAAAAATTTTTCAAGTTTGTTGTTCAATTTATTGCTTCATTTGGGTTTGAATCTTTCAGTTCATCAATTGATAGTCTGGTGTGGTAGTTATTATTCAGCAATATTTTGCATGGCGTATCTTGTATCACAAAGGCATATCATATAGCATATATCATATAGCATATATCATATAGCATATCTTGTATCTTATCAGATAAGCACTACGAGATGTGCTCATTCAAAGAGAAGAAGGCATTGAGGCTGTGCAAGGAGGAGGTCACCAACTTCATTGAATACAACAGGAGACAGTTCAGTCGTATATATCCATCAGGTCTCTCTCCTTCTTCTTTCTGCTATTGTTTCATTGTTCTATATTTGCTGGTGTATGCTGCTTTTTCTTCTTTTTTTGTGCATAATCTTGTTTGCTCTTTGTCGTTTGCTTACATTTATTCTCTATTTCATTTGCAGTTTGTTAGGTCACTTGTTGCTGTAATTTATTGCTGAAACTTCTTTACTCATGAAATGTCATGAGAATGTTTAAAAGTTGATTAGTAATTAAAATCAATCGATCAACCACCAACCGAATGAACCAGGCTACAGAATAGATTCAAGCAACTTCAATCCAGTGCAGTTCTGGACTGTTGGCTGTCAGTTGGGTGAGTTGGTGCTGTTATATTACAGATTGTGGCGTGGCTAGAATGCGCTGCCCGTATCTCCATAGTTGACGTGTTCATTGTTTTTTCATTAACTGTATTTTCATTTTTCCACTCCTCTCCAGTTGCACTCAATTACCAGACAGCCTGCAAAGAGATGCAGTTGAACCAGGGAATGTTCCAGATGAATAGAGGATCTGGTTACGTTCTCAAACCTCAAATGCTTATTGATGGTTGGTTGATTGGTCGGTTTATTGGCTGGCTGGCTGGCTTGCTGGTTAATTGTCTGATTCTTTTTTGCTTAACTTGTTGTTCGTAAATACATGAATATTTCGTTTAATTTCGTTTTTTAACGCAAAGTGTAAATTTTTATTCAATCTAATTGTTTATACCATATTTTACAATTAGACTTTAAAATCATCTTCCTCATATTTTACATTCCATATTATTTTCTCCACAACCTCAGAGACCCAGGCCTTCGATCCACTCCAGCTGCCAGCCACATACAGGACATATTCCATTAGGGTGGGTTGGCTTCATTGGCAGAAATGATTTTTTTTATTTTTATAAACTGTCTTGACAAATGTGCCACTGGAGTTTAATGATTGTTGTGCGATAAACGTCTTAACAGTAATGATGCTAATAAATAAAACTGCTGAAATAGTAACAGTCGACAGATATTATAGGAATGATAAATACTTATGATGACATTGTTTAACATTGCACGTGCGTCACACACGCACGCACAAACTCACGCACACTCGTGCACACAAACACGTACAAACAGATAGTAGGTGCCCACCAGCTGCCGTACAAAACATCCAGCTACGTAAGGAATGAGCGAAACTATCACGTCCAGATCAGGATATTTGGTGTCGATGCTGACAACAACACACAACAAACATCACTTGTCAGGAGTAACGGTTTGTAGTGAGGACAATTTCATCAGTTGGATGTTGTTGTCGTGTGAACATTACTAAACGACGTTTGATTGTTTGTGGTTATGCAAAGATGATAAATGACTTCAAGCTTGTAACGTTTCTTGTTTAAAATTTTTAAACAACCATTACAACCGAAATCTAAATTTCTTGTTTTTGATGTTATTTTCTCAAGCAACATCGTCGTCGTCGTCGTTATCACAACAGGCTTAAATCCAATCTGGGATGAGGTGTTTCTCTTCAAGATATACGTTCCAGAGGTAGCCATGGTGATGTTCAGCGTATGCACGAAGACATTCGTTGCCCAGTACTCTGCCCCCGTACGTGCCCTAAAGAAAGGTGGGTCCCCTCCCTCCCTTCCTTCCTCCCTCCCTTTCTTCCTTCCTTTACTATCACTATCGTTATTCTTGATTCATGAAATAAAATAATCATCGATCTGGTTGTTAATTGCACGTCATTTTTATTGTTTGCTGTTATGTGTATCTAATTTTTACTTAATTTATTTTCTTTGTTTTTAATTAATATTTGTAACAAACCATTTTAGTGAATAATTTAACGAGACATCTTCTTTTTCTGAATATAGTTAATTTTGTTGCAGGGTGCCGAAGAGTACCCCTACTGAACAAGCATTCGGAACCATTCAACTTTGATTCATTCCTAATAGTGCACGTTGAAAAGCTATAATAGTATTAATAATTATTATAACAGGTTATAATAATATACAGTTATATTGTAATAATAAAAATAAAGAAAATAACGAGTTTATCAAATGTGTTAAATCGTTATCATCATCATCGTTTTGTTATTGTTGCTGCTTGTTATCATTGTTAATTTTTGCGTTGTTCCATTCAATTCTATTGTCGAAATGTTTTTATAATTTCGTTGCGGTAATCTCTCCTGCAACTCTATTCCGATGGTGGTAGTATTCTTGAATTATGATCAATCGCTAATTAAATATTTGGTAATAATAAACTATTTCGACGTTTGTCATCGCTGCGATCGTAATGTCGTGCATTATCTTTATTCTACTTGTCGGTTTTATAGTGAATTCATTCGTTTGTTCATTCATTCATTTGTTCATTCATTTATTCGTTCATTTAATGCAAAAATAATTACACGTTTATGGAGTCATATTATTCATAAATTTGAAATGCTATTACTTTTATGCGTGCATGCATGTGTCTGTGTGATGTGATACGTGTGTCTATCTAACTATCTATTAATGTCTATATTATATTTGCCAAGTCAAGTTATCCAATATTATTTTTTTCTTTTGTATTTATTTAAAAGTTTATTATTGATTCAATTCTGACAGAACATGTGTGACAACGACTTCATATCATAAAAAGCTATATTAATTAAATCTTGTGTTTTTCAAAACGAAACCATCTTTCAAGTGGAAATTACCTTCGCTAGTTTCACATTAATTTAGCCAGAGTATCTTAGCGTCAGTATTTGTGATCATAATCTAAAAATAGCGATTCTGTTAATTTTGAATTAATATTTATAACAAGAATAATTTATAATGAAGTTATATAACGAATGAGGGTAAAGATAATACGTGGCTAAATAATATTTCAATAATCAAAAAAGTGATATAATAAGTACGCAAAATGTGACAGAAATATACTTGTATTTTATGCGCAGTGTTTATGTTAAAAGGTTTATACCTACAATACGTCGCATATGTGAGCACATATATATATATATCAGTGTGTGTGTGTGTGTGTGTGTGTGTGTGTGTGTGTGTGTGTGTGTGTGTGTGTACCATTGCCCGGCATATTAGTGAATTACTGCATATTAAGTTAAGTGAAGAAACAAATGAAGGATTACAATGAAAGCATAACCATGAAAAGAGACACGAGCCATCATAAGGTAAGCACTAGAGCCTCAAGCGGATACAAATTCTCAAAACTCCGCGGATGTTGTCTGCTGTTTGCCGCGGATGCAAGTGCGTTATTTAAAAAACCGCCCGCAAAATTAAATGTTCCATTTTAAAATGAATTTAAATTTTCAGATTATGTGAGAATGTATGTGTATTTAATGGCCATAGCTGAGTCTCTGGGGTCCACGTTGATAAAGCCAAGCGAGCAGCTTCTACTAATTTGATTAAATAAAGTTAGTTGGCTTACTTAGGAAATTGCATTGGTTTTAACTAAATTAATACAAAAGATTTACTTGACTAAAAAATATTTTTAAAACAACATAATGAAATCGAATTATTTAATTCAAAATTATAGCCAGAATTATAAAGATATCGACTCGAACTTCGTGAATCCTGCAATCAATCTTGCAGCAGTATTAAGCATTGATTGCATGTCATTCCGAAGGGAAACTTTTATACCGTACATTATTGCATTACAGTAATCAATTCTGCTGCAAATTAAACTAAAAACATATTGATACATGTATACAACACACACACACACACACACACACACACACATATATATATATATATATATATGTGTATATATATATGTATATAACATGAGTATATATACATAATAATATATTATTGGTAAACAATTACCCGCCATAGGCCAGGCGTACGTTTTGTCTTTCACGAGACTCGTCAGTAGCCTGTCGACTAATGTTTAAGATAACACAACTCAATTAATGTAACCAAGAAACTCAAATTCATAATGATTAATATATATATAACATAACATCTTCATAAATATTAAATAAATAAATAAATTGCTTCACTGAGTTTTTCATCTTCGTTCATTTTGTGCTTGCTGTTTTAGCCGATGTTATTTCAATTAATAAATTAGAAATTTTTTAAATTGAAAGATTTCTTCTCTGCAGATTTCTGCTGTCTGATTATAATTATATTGTTGTGTTGCTTCTAGTGTTGCTATCTTCTAATTTTAAACATGAGATTAAGACGGCCAATTTAGGTTGTCTTTACGAGGGTGCGGTTGCGGACATGAACTCTGCGAATGCGGGCGGTTTAGAAAAATCTTCTCTGCTTGGGGCTCTAGTACGCACCAACCACACCACACAACATGGTCACTATATAAGATAGAACTGTGAGACATGTAATTGATGTACGTGATATATGTGTTATAGGCTAACGAAAATGTTCAATTAAACTTATTAACGTTGTTAATTGATTTGTTGAAGGTAATAATCTGCAGATTGTAGATGATTACAAAATAGAATCTTGAGCGTAAACTCTACATACAGTATGTGATAGTATAATAAAGTAAGCAGTCCAGATATGACATGACAAATGAACATCAGTCAACTAACAAACTCAGTGAAAAATCAATTAAATGTCTTTCTTTTTAAAATTGTTCGTTACATCAAAACATTAACAAAACATCTAAAAATTCATCAAAGAATGAAGTAATTTCAAGCAGAATAGCATAGTCATAACAAGTATGTATAATGGCCAATGCGTCATTAACAAACGTGTAACAAAACAAAGTTGGATGAAGCAACCTCCGTTAACTAGAATAGACTATATGACAGTGTGCATATACATTGGGTTATATCTATATATATATATATATATATGTGCGTGTGTGTGTGTAAGTGTAGCACGTGTTTGTGTGTATATGTGTGTAGTCACTGCCTGTGCTATAAATAAATGTACGAAACTAAAAATGGTCCACTGAAAATCACCACCGTCCGTTTTATTAAAAGTTTAGTTAGGTCTTAGTAAACCTTGTAAAATAATAAATGTGCATGTTTCTACGTTGATGTGTATTCAGGGGCGAAGGGCGAAAATAAGGGAGGGAATAAATTGTCAATTAAAGACTTCAAAAGTATCTGTGAAGACTGTGGATGGCATTTTTTTATTAATCCACCGTTTTCATCGTAATTTTTGTTAGCTTCAGTGTGTAAATTGGAAAATTTAAAAAGAAATCTAAATTTACTGTTGAAAAATCACTTTTGCGCCGTAAAATCCACTTAAAATCCATCGTCAACAGTACATTTGTCTCCAAATGTCGAAGAATCTGAATAAGAATCTTGTCTGGGACAGATGGGATGAACTCTTTAGAAAAAATTTCTGAGGAAGCTGACGACGTGGACGCTGATAAATCTGCCGGAAGAACAAAATTGTGAACAAAAACAAACAAACAAACAAGTACTGTAACGATAAAACGCGCTAGGTTGGTGCGATACATTTATGATTATAGCCAAAAACAGCAAATGTTTGTTTCATTTAATAGTTCAAGAACCCTACACACACTTGTGTAATTAAAAAAAAAGCATTTAACAAATGTAACAATAACTTTATCATTGTACATTTAAAAACGAGGTAAATAACGTATAATTGACTAAATAATTAAATTGTTTGTTAGGAAAGTATAAGTTGCTTAGGATAACATTCACACCTTCCGTCTATGCGTAGTTGTGTTTGAACGTATTTTTAAAATGAAAAATCATAGGAAACATATCAAATTCACCATTTAAATCAATCGCAAACGCGAAACAGACACAAATAGAGGAATTGTTGTTTATTAAAAAAAATAGCCAACAAACGAATTACATGTTCAAAAAATCTGAAAAAACAATTAATGCTGCTCAATGTTTAAATTTATTAACATCAATCAATTGAAAACCAACCACCACCTTATTAAATTAAAACTAAAATGTGGTACAGTGTACTTTCTTGCAATCACCATCAACACCGACACTGTTCTGTTCTGAGATATGATTGAACGTTTACTCATTAAATAAAAAATTTTTGCCAGAAAATGTTTTGCAGTTGAATAATAATAATAAAATAATAAATAGATAAATAAAAAAAATAGCTATATTATAAAAAAAATTAAAAAACTCATAAAAAATGATTAAAAATGATAAAAAGACTTCCTACCAATACTCATGGTACCAGCCAGCCTGCAAATAATTACTTAATTATCATCATTACATTACATCATAAATTGTGAGTATAATACTTAGTATAAATATAACTTATACTCAATCAACAGTGATGCAAAATTACCATCATCTGTGTAACCAGAAACTAAATGTGTAATACGTACGTGTAAGTGTAATTGGTTGGTTAGCAGTATTGTAGTAATGTAGTAACGTAGTAAACAAAAGTAATATTAAAAGTTGTAGTGTAATTATAATGATTGTAGTAAAAAAAAAACAAAAAAAAAATTAAGCTGGGGTTTATATATAAAATGTATCTTTTTAAAAACGCAAAAACAGTAGTTGAAGGTAGAAATAGTTGCAGTACAATTTTAAGAATTGATAAAAAGGAAGAAAAAAGATTTACACAGAAAAACTATTGACGTTATTAAAAAATAATATTCATCAAATATTTAACCTATTAGTAAGTTAATTAGTTAATCAATTAATTAACTAATTAATTATGGAATATTTTATAGGGTAGAACACTTAACTTAGGAATTTAGCAGTTTAAACGGTCACAAAAACATTCAATCAATCAATCAATCAATCAATCAATCAATCAATCAATCAATCAATCAATCAATCAATCAATCAATCAATCAATCAATCAATTTGTAGTTGACAACCAGTCAATTACTCAATTAAATCAATTAATCAGTCAACTCATCTACAATCAAAGTATTTAATACTAATCCTTCTATCAAATACTATCTCATATAACTACTATTAACAACGGTAAATTACTTATTTGAAGTTTCTTTTTTTCAGCATACTACTGCCACTAATATAATTATTATAACTATAATAATTATTATTATAATTATAAGGTATTAATAATTTAGAAAATGTTGGTAACGTCAGACAATTGTATAAAAACTGTAGACTCTGATATAATTTAAAAAAAAAAACGAATTACGAACCAACCCCAGAAATAAAAAATCAACAAAGTTTAATGAATTCATAAAAATAAAATAAATAAATCGAATGACAGAATTAAAAACTGTTCATTTGGTTCATTAATTTTTAATTCAAAAGCAAAGAATTTGTCTTTCATGTGGATAAATAAACCCTTTCATGTAAATAAATAGACAAGCAATGTTCTCAAACACCATCACCGTGTCAGTCATAAGCATCTCGTTGAAAGACTTTAATTAAATGATCCATTTAACAATTACAATCAATCAATCAATCGATCAATCAATCAATCAATAAAATTTCATATAAAATATTCAATCAATCAACCATCCATTCAACTAAAAGTCACACCCAATCAGCCAATCAAATATCACATTCAACCAATCAAAAGTCCCATTCAATCAGCCACAGAGAAACGACTCTACCCAATCAGCACACGCCCATTTTTGATTGGTTGTGGGCGACCTCACTGATGCCCAGGTAGTGGACGAAAGCAGCTGCCACAACGAACACATGGAAGATCTGATGGCTTTGAAACTGTCGAAAATGATGGAGCACATGTTATACAACTAATCCATTCAATTAATAACTAAATATATAATTAATTGGTTGTTCTATAATCTAAGTAGACCGTGTAGTTGTTATACATTTAAATGCTATTTATTAAAGTTTAACATGCTTTTATTAATCATTAATTACAATATAATTAACTAATTAATTATTCAACTTTCCTCACTAAATTAACCTATAATTAACTTAAAAGAACTTTGGCACGATGACATAAACATGAATACAAATCATTGAACATAGCTCTAAAGTTATAAATAACACGAACAATGAATAAACATGGGATATATTCAGTCACAAACATTATAAGCTGCCTGTATAAAACATGTACAAAAATAATTATGTGAAAACAAATTTGTAACATATACACATAAATAGACAAACACACACATTATTATTCTTACACAGATGAAAAGATAGCAAACATGATCAATCAGACTCACAAACACAATTCACACACACACACACACACACACACACACACACACACACACACACACACACACACACACACACACACACAATTCACACACACACACACTCACTCACACACACACACACACACACACACACACACACACACAATTCACACACACAAATGTATACAAACACGCATACATACAGAAACACAATAACAGACAGACAAACATACAAACACACATAGAAACACACAGAGACAGAGGTACGCAAACTAACCCAGATATCAAACTTTCCAGGCCAGATGCACTCAGGAATGCGAGCGGCGTAGAGGAAAGCCCCGAAAATGTAGAGAAATGCCATAAGGAAGAGATAGCCCATGGCTGCAGTGTTCCATGCGTGGTACAAGCCCTCCCACATTATGTAGTGGGCCGCTGGGACCACACCACTCAGACCGAGGGCTACGAAAACACCTACAAGTTTTATTTTTTTTATTCGAAATAAAACATTCAAATATAAGATTTTTTTCATCTTGTTTTTTAAGGTTTTTTGTTAAATTGAATCGAACAAAAAAGAACCCACATGAATGGTTGATAAACGTATAAACAGGAAAATAATGAAAATAACAATAAAATGATGATGGTGATGATAATTTTATGATTTTTATCTTATGACAATTATTATAATAAATGAAAAAAATAATAGAAAAATCCACTAAAATAAAAAAATACACACCACAGATGATCTGATCAATATGATGAAAGGTGATGGCACAATGAAAATCATGGTGGAAATGTTTTTGAAATGATAAAATGATAAGCTCTATAACATAACAGAACAAACAGTGCACTATGAGTGCACTTTGATGATGATGTAATAAGATAACTGCATGTTACAACATCATGTGATAACACCATGTGATAACTTCATGTTACAACATCATGTGATAACACCATGCGATAACATCATGTTAATAACATCATGTGATAACTTAATGTGGTAAAAATCTCACCAAATTAAAGGGCAACAATGATAAAAACGTCACCAGACATCAAATAGCAATATCAATCACAGGAAAACATTTAACAAATGACATTTATATCAAGCAACAACACTAACGATAATGCAAAACAACATTAGGTGTGACAACAACAGCGTTACCAACAACTTTTAACAGTGTTGACCACAACTTTACTCTTTTTTTTACATATAAAAAAGTATTTAATCATGAAAAGATCTTTTAATTAACTCGATCCTAGATCTTTTCAATCAAACAATTATGCCTCAATTAGCATTACACTCATGATGTATCAATAGCAATTAACTTCAAAATAAATACCTAAAATAGAACAAGCACTAATGAGAGCCAAGTAAGAAAATGACAACCCACTTAAAAGTAAATCTAAGTCAACAGAAATAACTAAAATTAAATCGATAATCATTTGATATAGAGTATGAAATAGTAATTATATTCTATCTTGCAAATAATATTACAATTTATAATTATTTATAATTATTATTGCGATTGCAGTAGCAATAACACAATTATTTTCATTCTAATCATCAGCCTTTATAACATTAAACAGTATTTCTAAAGAGGATGAAAATAATTAAAACAAAATTTAGGCCACAGAAATTGAATGAATCAACAGTTTAAATGGAAGACCCGGGAGACATGAATATTCATAAGCTGATTTATAAACCACGGAAGAATAAAAAAGTTTCCAATACCAAAACAATCAAACATACAACTATGTGTATCAGTGCACTAATTAAAAGACAACAACAACAACAAAACAAAAACAGTAAACAATCTGGTAGAAAAAAATGAAACAAGAACTGCAACGGAAACAACAACAACAACAACAATAATAATAATAATACCAGAAAGAAAATTATAAAAAAAACACAAAATAATGATAAGGTTCGAGGGTGAAGATGATATAATGATAAGAGATATCTTAGAGAGAAGTGTACAAAATTTAGATGAAATCAAGGTGAAAGCCAAGTGTTTATAATTATTATCATTATTATTACCCACAGTAAAATTAATGATTATGACTATAATGACAATCAATCATCATCAATATCTTCATTATCACCATTATCCTCATCATCTCATCATCATCGTCCTCATCAAAGCCTCTAATACTACCAACACAATCATCATTATCTTCAACATCATCATTATCATTATCACTTGTCTAATCAACACTATAATCATCATCATCAGTGTCATCATCATCATCGTCATCATTATTATTATTTGTTATTAATATTCTAATAAGTAGAATAATAAATTCGTAAAGCCCATAGTGAACAACGTGATTTCATAAATCATGAGATATGATGGGACCGTGTCAACATACTTCATACACAACTTGCATCAACAACAATAACACAACAACCTCGCAAACAAACAAGTAATTAGATTAGTATAAATAAATTATTAATATAATTATTATTACTACAAATTCTATTATTATAGAGAGGAGAATAAGAACGAAGTGTTGTTAACGTTACTCATTAGTATTATTCATTAAGTAGTATTTATTTAGTAAATAAACTATTACTACGAAAACATTTGAGAACAGTGATCACTGTTAATGAATGAGCAATTGATAATGTGATTAATTAAAGGTAGTATATACAGTTTGAGTAGTTGTGGACTTGCTAGCTGTCTATTTTGGTTTTGTTGCTTCATAAATGTAGATAGATAGAAATGCTTTTTTTGTTGTATGGGAGTTGTTGAAAAAATTTGCATAGATATACAAAACGCTATAAACAACAGTGTATTAAAAGGTGTGTATGTATTGTTGAGAGCTAGTTGTATAGCCATTTATACAATGTTATACAATGTTTTGAAATGTATGCATATATTATCCAGATATTTAGAAGACAAAATGTACCAATGAAATCTGAAAAAAGCTATTGAACATAGGTGTAGCAATATACCAAAAAAATTTTGATGATGTATGCATGTAATTCATTGCTTTGCAAATTTAAAGTTTAAAATTTAAATTCCAACAATTTTAAATATGTATAAATATTTGAAAAGTTGACGGAGTTTTTTGCAAGTTTTTTGCCATATATTGTTATTGTATGAAATTTTGTAAAATGAATTTTAATTTAACTTTGAATTGCCAGCGGCGTTTGAATAAAAATGAAAGTCAGTTTAAACATGGCAGGTAGTAAGAAAAATATATTATAATGACACTTATAGACAGATATTTTTACATTTTTAAAATGATAAAGTTATGATAAAAACAACGATTGAAATGCTTGAAATTCGTATCCAATTTTTCAAGATACCTACCTGTATATATGATATCTTAAACAATTTCATATATCTACCTGTAAATACGTTATCTTAAACAATTGAGTTTGGCAACCAGGATTTTAAAGGTAGATAGGAGATAAAAAGGAATAGAATAGAGAAAAAGGAGAGAGATAGAGAAAATGTTGACAGAAATAGAATAGCGATATCTTAACAATTTAAGATCTTTAGCAAGTAAATTACAACAGGAATGCAAATGCAAATGAGAATGAATGGTTATGTAAAACTTTGAAAAATTTTCACAAATATAAAACTATCAATACAACAAAGATCAATAACGACAACAACGTTGCTATCATGCTATCACAATCATCATTATCATCACCCAAATCACATTATACACAATGTATGCATTGAATGATTGATATGCCATGTCAGTACTTTTATGCTGTGAAATTCATACTCAACAAATCAATCTAGGTTTTATTTTAATGTAAAACTGTTAGGTTACATATGAACTATTTCATCACCATCTCACTTTTATTTGTATAGTTCTAAATGCATTACTTCAGTATCATCACCATCATATAATTAACATCCACTTTTCATTTTAAAGAAGATCTTCACAAAACAAACATTAATAAGCAACACAACTGTCTCTGACAGACAAGCCTAAGCAAATTACACTGGATAAAAAATGGTCATAAAAAGTACCATCAAACACCAACAGTATAAAAACCTTTCCGGCACAATTAACAACAACCACAACGACATAAATACCACAACTAACAACAACAACAAAAAAAGCAATACAATACCGACCTGCTCTGAGTACCCTGTACTGAGGCTGACCAAACTTATCCCACATGGATACAACGATGGATGCGATACCAAGTACCAGAATGCAAACGAGGTACACGACCTTTGGTGAATTGTGGCAGTAGAAGCAGTAGTAGAGCCAGGGCACGAACGAACCAATGATTAACAGGGCTATGCCACAGTAGTCAAGCCTTTCAGTGGAAGACAGTTTAAAAATTATTAATAACAATGATTACGAAATTGTGTTCAGGTATTAGTGAAATTAAACATAGTGTAAAAAAATAAACATCAATATAAAACTAAACAAAATCACATTGAACTAACTTGCTGAAGAGTCTTCCAACATGTTCAGAATGGCAACAGAGGCAGTGGAAGAGCCAGGAGAAGCACATGCAGAGGATGGCCCCGGCAAAAAATGCGGAAAACACCAACTTCTTTTCCCACATCACCTCAACAGAGGGTCGGGTTAGGAAGTAAAATGTGAGCACGATGAAGAAGATACAGCCTGGTTTGTTTTCAGTGGTGTGGTATGGATGAGATGCAAAAACAATGATGATGACCATGTGATGAAGATGTTCATTAGAAATTATAAAAAAATTATTTAAGTAAATTGGTGAAGAAAGCAGAATGGAACAAACCAATGAGATGAGTCCAAATGTTACCAGTCTCAGTGTGGATACGAAACATGGACTTGAAGCAAGCCCAGAATGAATACAAAGGTGGTCTGTGACCTTTGACGAGGTAGTCGTTGTCTCTCAACCACTTAGGCAGGTGGCTGTGGTGTATGACCTCCTTGCCTGCTTCCCACGTGTGACGCAACCAATCCTCCGTTCGATTCTTTATCTTAACAAAAAACGAACCCCATATTTTGTGAGCTATTTCTTCTGCTCTTTCAACTGGCATATCTAATGATGGAATAAATACAAGCAAATATCAACTGCTTCAAAATGAAAACAATCTTAATGGATCAATTTCGAAACTTTTATTTATTGAAGCATATTTAGTCTTGGTTATCATCATTATTGTGGTGTATGTTTTTAAATTTACTAGATTACAGATTACAAATACAGAAGCAGCAAGAACATCCCCTCACCTGGAACAGCTTCCCAGAGATGTTTGGCGAATTCCTCAGCTTTATCGTAAGCCATTGATGGACCACTGTGCCAACAATTTTTGGCTATCTCACGAGCCTTGTCATAGCTCAATCCAGGAACTGTCTTCCATAAATATTTTGCAAAATCTTCCGCTAGATCAATGGCTTTGCCAGGAAATGACAGCAAGTCCATGCTCTGCGAGTCAAAACCACAGTGCTTGTGAAGTAACTCTTGAATCGTTGCCTGTGTATGTGGGGCATTATTTTGAATTATTTTAAATAAACTAAAATTGTTTAACCATAAAAAAGTAACATAAGTTACATTAAAAAAAATTTTTTCTCTTAATGGATTACCACAGCAATAAAATTAATTGACATATGATGTAAATGATACAAAATCAACAAATGACGCTTTTTTTGATAAAATACTCACACAAAAAACCAGAGAAAAAATCTAACATCATAATTTCCACAGTCAATATCATTAGCCACATCAGTAGCAGCAACAGCAGCAGCATCAGCTCCAGCATCTTGTTGATACAGGTGATCACCACCAATGGAATGATCCAGCTTCCCATCAGTCACTCTGTGCCTCAGCTCCATGTGATCAACGTCATTATTCAAAGATGATTTGTCTTTCCTCATCTTTGAGTCTTTTTCATCTGTTATGGTCACAGTCATGTTTCTTGTTTATAAATGCTATAAATCTCAAATAACATTCAGATGAGTAACTAATATAATAAAAATGATATTTATATGGAAAATAATGCAATCTGCTCTTATGAATTTCAATATTTATAGTAAGTATTCACAACCTATGTGATATATAACACATATAACAAATGCATATACATTTAAGTAATTAATATGCCTATGTGTGTGCGCGCGCGCGCGCGCGTGTGTGTAGATATAGCACATGAATGCTGGATGATCAAATGAAAGATTTGTATAACACTTATGACACATAACTGCATTATTTAACAAAGCAAGTACTAAACACAGGTTCATTATTAAAAAATGTAAAGTCTTCAATATCTTTTTCAAGTCAGGTGATTTAAGAAGTAATTTAATTAACCATGCTAAAATGAAGACTACAAATTAATATTAACTTCATTTAACTTGATTAGCATTTTTAAGCACTTTGTGCATTCAAATTGACATTACATTTTTAAAATGAATTCATAACTAAATAATAGGGTACAGTGTTAAAGTTTAATGAGGAAAAAATATTAATTATTACTCTTTAGTATCTTGTAATTTGAACAGTTCATAACAGGTTTTAATTTAATAACATATATGACATGTTACATAATATATATATATATATATATATATATATATATATATATATATATATATATATATATGTACACATACAACACATTGTCCTTGTATATGTATATATATATATATATATATATATATATATATATATATATATATATATATATATACATACATATAAACACAGGATATTTGGGTTCAGACTGTCATATATACAGTTATTAAGAAATATCACTGCATTTTTCATATTATTAAGTTTGTAACTAAGTTTTGAAACTTAGATACAAACTCAACAATGCGGAATTATTTCTTAATAAATATAAAGTAAACGCACGAGAATGAATTGGAAAACTGTAAAATTATTCTAACTTTAATAAAATAAATAATGACCACAAGAATTTGGTTAGAAATATTGAGAAATGTAATAAAAAACATATCTAATGCTAGAAATTCAGAAGATTTCTTTTATATGTATATATATAATATATATATATATGAATATGAATATATATATTTATATACACTACTATAATCATCTTAGATTATTAACAGAAATGTATACAAGAATAAACTTTGTCAAATAAAGTACAAAGTTGTTGATCAATTTTAAGTTATTTATCATATTTTGATTTAATTCTTTTTTATATGAAATTTTTTAATTAATAGTGAAATAATAGAAACTTTAAATTTTTATTTTATTGATGAAAACATCACCTGGACTTATGGTGTAGTAATTTAATATCATTTTATTTACTGCCATTTGCTAAGTTTGCAGTGTATTTATCATCACATCACTTATTATATTACTGATTACTCATTCATATGATGATTTCAAATTTTAACTACACTACCATGTCTCTATAATATAATAATACTATACGAACGTTATTTATACTAGTATAACTATATTTACACAAGTTATGTCAAGCTTTACTTACTTCACTAATTTATTTTACTTTTTACTATAATAATCAATGTATTAATAACTTTTATTTTTATTACTAAAATTTAACAAAATAGAACAAAACAAAATACAGATCAGTGCAGTAAAAAAATTGTGATAAATAAAACAAAGCAAGAACTAAACAACCAGCAAACAACAAACATCACATAATAAATTATTCATACAATAAGAAGGTTAGGGTTAGGTAATGATTTGTTTTTATAGGTTACATTTCTGTTGTAAACAAACAGCTGAAAAATAAATGTCAGTGTCAATTCAAACTACAAGCAGAACAAAACAAAATCGAAAAAAATAATCAAATAAATGAAATTACTAACCACATTAAAAGAAGAATTTAATTAATAAAATTATTATAATTCGGCGAATTTCCTCTACTTTAACTTTCGAGTTAAATTAAATTAAAAGATGACCAAAAAGAAACGTCATTACAGCCAGCGATCGTAAACGAGTTTATAAAAAAAACGACTTATATTGTTTCTACGGAAGCTCAGACTTCAGTGTAAAATCAAATTAAAAATTCATCTTTTAATCTGGAGAAACTATGTATTAAATTTTAATTAATTTTATATTTAATTTATTTTAATTTTTTAGTAAACTTGTTTTGCTTGTGTTTCTGTTTTAAAGATTATAATTTGAAAAAAAATAATTTAAGATATGCAAAATGAAGCGCTTGAAATAATAATATTTTGCCCAGGTGTTGTCTGATAGTTTGTACTAAGTTAACTTTTCATTTTTTTACTGAAATATTTTTTCGTGACTGACTTTAAAAGGCTTGTATGGTTTTTTCCCATTTTGGTTTTAGTAAATGCATTTTTGGAATTAATTGAATTGAGAGTTTTGTTAATTTTCAATTGTTATTTTTGATCGCTAACAAAAAAAAAATGTCGGGCGAAGAACTTGATTTCGAGAGAGATGTTGGTTCACCGGTGGACAATCGTTCATTTTCCCTGATGAATAAAATATCGGAGAACCCGGTCACGTTTGATGAGAAATCCTTGAAGTTTGTCAACCTGCCGAAGGAATGGCAGGATTTATTGGAGGTTTCTAAAATAACGTTAGTTGAATTAAAAACAATTTTTCTTAATAATAACATTAATTTAATGATTAAATTTAATCTTTAATCTTTAAATTTTAATCTTTCCTCCTAATTTTGATAATTAATAACTTAAATAAAATTTAACTTAAATTATTTAAGTTATTAAGTCTTAAATAAATATATTAAAATTTAATATATTTAATAATTTAAAATATAAATAAATATTGTCTTAACATTTCAATTTTTAAAAAATGGAGACAGCAAAGACAGCATAAAAACAAAATTTTATGATGAGTTTATATTTTATACTGAAAACTCTATTGATGTTCAAAAATTATTGGTTTATCAGAACTTTATTTATTATATTTTTCCATTAATCTATTTCAGAAAAGGCTTCTATTTTTTTTCATTGATATTTTCATATCTTTCTTTAATATATCTTTTGAAAATTTTATATAACAGACAATAACATTTTATAATTATATAACATTAATTTATAACATTAAAAATTGAAATGTTAAGACAGTGTTTATTTATATTTTAAATTAAATAAATATATTAAATTTTAATATATTTATTTAAGACTTAGAATAAAGTAAGGAAACTTGAATATTAAAAAAAAAATCTTTTTTCACTTAGTCCTTCAGAGTGTTCTAAAGATCCGAAAGCAATCATTAATGCTTTGTTATTCTTGGAGAAAAATAATTTGAAATCAGAAAAATTCATCGAAGTTGAAGAGGATTTTGATCAGATAGATGGTGACGAGGTTGGATAATTTTATTTTTCACTTATAATTGATTTGTATAAATATTCATTAAAAGAAACTTCTAATTTTTTAATGAAAATATTTGGGTTCTACAAAATCTCTTCATAGGTAACGGTCGTCCATTTCATATTGAAAAAAAATATGTTGACTAAATATAAGTCTTTATAATTTTTTCTATTTTTGAAAGATTTGTTATACTAATTTGAACTTATTAATGGTTTAATTGATTCAGAGCGATAATGTTGATTTGGTGGTTGGAAGAAAGGTTAAAAAGTATTTATCAACTATGGATTTCATCAAAGATATCCGTTAGTAACTTTTTTATAAAAATTATTTATACTCAATTCATATATTTTTGTGTTTATCTAATCTTTAAATCATTTCTCATTGATATTAGATTTTACTTTTTTAATGATACTTTCTGAATTTGTTTCTTTAGTGATGTGTTATAAAGTATTTGGACATTTTTTTAATTTCACGTTATTTATTCCATTTTATTTAATACCCTACATTTATCACCAATTTTTATGATTATTTTTCAATTAAGCCATTTTAGTTGCCATTTATGTAGAATCATTTATTTCTTCACAGAAAAATATTTGTCAAAAGATGACCCGAAGTTGAAGTATCGTTTGTTCGATGTAGTTGGCCAGGGGTTAGTTTTTCTTTTTCATTAACTCAAATAATTAAACTTAAATATATATAAATATATCAATAAAATAATTTAATAAATTAAACCATTAGTCCTGCCTTAATTTCCAAAGAATGTTCATGTTGCCATTGTTATTTATAAGTAGTACATTGAATTGAATAGATTTTAACGAAATAATGATACAAATTAATTAACACATGTTAAATGAAAAGAATCAGCAACTTACCACCTACCCACCCATGCAACAAACAGAGCAACAGCAACTGTGCACTACGCCGTGAACAACGTGACACGAAAGGATGTGGCTGTCAAAGAGATGCCACTGAACAAGTTGCAGAGGAAGGACCTCGTGTACGATGAGATCGAGATGATGCTCAAGATCAAACATGACAATATCGTCAATTATGTCGAAAGTTTTCTAATTGATAATAATTCAAAGTCAGTTTTTTAATTTTAAAAGTTGTGATACACATTTTGCTCTCAATCCATTAAGTTCAATGAAAAAACTTTTTATTTTCTGCAAGCAACATTTTTAAGATTAAATATTATTGTTAAATGTCAAATTTTTTGTTAACTTATATTTTTATAAAGCAAATTATAAAGCAAGCTTCGCAAAATAAGTGGTGTTATAATTGTTGTGTTGAAATTTGGTCGGCTTAAATATTTTATTCAAGCACGCACAAACAACAAGCCAACAACCAACAAACAAACTAACAACATTCAGACTGTGGATAGTGATGGAGTTTTTGAATGGAGGTACGTTAGGAATGGTTGCCTACTACACAAGGATGTACGAATATCAAATATCTCACGTCACCTGGAAGGTCCTTGAGGCTCTGTCATACCTACACAGTCAGAACATTATTCACAGGCTGGTTGATTGTGGTCATTTAGATACTTGATTTTTCTTATTGTGAATTTTAGTGATTATATATGGTTCTTCATTACTAATATCATAATATTAGTGCATTCATTGTACAACAAACCATTCAAATGTAAAACAATACAGAGACATCAAAAGTGATAATGTACTGTTGGGTTTGAATGGCAGTGTCAAACTGACAGACTTTGGTTTCTGTGCCAAACTTTTGAATGCAAGCGACGCAAGGAACTCTTTCGTTGGCACCATGTACTGGATGGCACCAGAGGTTATCAAAGAGTAAGTAGGTCTGCTCTTTTGTTGTATACATGCCTGCCAACATCATTAAAAAAAGGCAAACTTGCAATGCACCGCACCACGTTTTTTTGGATATTACAAGTTTTTTTTTGGATATTACAAGTTTTTTTTTGGATATTACAAGTTTTTTTTTTGGATATTACAAGTTTTTTTTTGTTCATTAGGCTTATTTTACAATTTTAAATGTGGCTTTTATTATGGTTTGAAAATGACATGCATGCAACTTGAAAATTTCTCGAGTTCTGAAACATGATGTGTTTGTTCATAGGTTATAGATTGTAATCTTTTCCTAATTTTCATTACTTTATTACGTCGTTGAAACATTATTTTGTTTTCTCTGGTTTTCATCTCTCGACTTCTTTTCCAACTTTTTTTACTACATCTCAATTTTTCCATGTCTTAAGATTGATCTCTTGATTATGATAATTATAAAGATCAAATCTTGCCCGCCCACAGACAGAACTACAACGTCAAGATTGACATCTGGTCGTTGGGGATAATGGTCATCGAGATGATAGACGGAGTGCCACCATATTTAGGCGAGTCCCAGATTAGGACTATCTATCTCATCTCCACAAGAAGCAAACCACCCGTCAAAGATTCTGCCAGATTTACAAAAGAGGCCAACCACTTTTTAGATCAATGCGTGCAATACGATCCAGCGAGAAGAGTCGCAGCCAAGAAACTGTTGGAGCATGATTTCATTGTCAAGTACAAGGACGCTCCTTTTGAAATCAGGGAGTCAATCCTCTTTGCCAGGGCCAAACATGAGCAGTCGACACGTTAATTTCAATTAATATTCTCTTGTCGACTGTATGTTAGCAATTTGTGATTGAGATTAGTTTATTCTTTAAATTGTATGGATTTTATTTATTATTTTATTTTTTTACTGATTACTTGTCAATGCGCTAACAGATTAGCTTGTTTTTACATTCAGTACTTTTTCCATTTTGTTCATGTTTACTTAATTTTTCAACAAATTTGACTAGTAAATGTAATGAATGATTCAACGTGCATAGATTTTTTCTTTTATTACGTCCTACCTCGGGAAACCGGGTCTCTGGACGCAAAACGAAGATTGATTGATTTTTTCCTTTACTATGTTTTACATGATTATCGAAAAATAAGGTTTAAATTATTTTTGTTTGATTTAATTTTGTTTAATTGTAACTACTTTGTTGCTCCAGCTTAATTTAATGTTAATAATTTTGTTGATATTTATATCTATCTGATGATAATTTTCTTACATTAACAGTGTGCTTGCTTATTTATGCTTGTGTTAATCGGTTTATACAATGCTAATCATTTAGTGCTAATGTTTAAGTTTTTTTTATATGTCATGATTCTTTTTTTAAGATTGCGGTTCCAAAATTGTTATCCTTGAGAACTATTTCTCGTTTATTTACTATATCCGTTTTTATTTTTATAGTTACTTATTTTTAAGAATTGATATTTCAAGCATCGTCAGTTACATGTGTGCGTTTTTTGTAACAATTTTAAATTTCAATACTGTATCACCCATGTTTACCATTGAGTTATTTCTTGTCAGTGGTATTTCTATAAGAAATTCTTTTAAATGCACCATAATTATAAAAACGTTTAAATAAAATATTTATAATAAATATGATAAAATAAATTATATTTATCTATATTTTCGTCATTGCAACTTATCATGCACAGAGGTCTCGTAGCAATGTGTGTTCGGCATAACATGATTTTTTTTCTTTGTTATTTTTTATTACCTTTCTGATTTTTTTCAACTTTTTATTTTATAAATAAAAGATTCAAGCTACTATTATTATAATTGCTTGTGAATTTTATATCGTGTTTTCAGGTTATTTTGTTAGCACGATCTATTTAAATAATACAAAAAGTTGTTTGAACAATTTTGTAAAAACTCAAAAACATGCAATTGTGCTGTTGAATTGAACATTGTTTCATTGAAAACAATGTGAACAGCTTGCACAAAATCACGCAGAATAAAGAATAATTGCTTTACTATATGAAAAATCCAAGTAGTTCAATATTATCACTATGCTGTTTGATGTAGATTTGTACTTATCGTGCAAATTTGAAAACTTCATTCTTTTAAAGGCACGAGCAGTTGAACAAATAGGCTTGGTCTGAAATCTTCTTGTCGCGTATAAAACCATTCTAAAACAAAAAACGAGCATATAGAAGTAATTATAATGCGATTATAATTAAATGTTCAATTATATTTTATTATTATAATCGGCGTTCCACATTCAATGTTTACGATCTTACATCAATCTTTTTTTATTTCACATGTTTTGATTTGAAAACTATTCCCGATTAATAAATTAAAATTTCATATTAGGGCTCAGCTAAATGGCGGTTAGAAAATCATTTTGGGTTGATTTTGATTAAGGAAATATTGCTGCTCACTTTTTATTTTGATTCGTTTTTATCGTATCTATAAATTAAATTTTATCTGGCGTCACTCACTGGTTCATGACTTCATGTTCATGTTGTGTTTCATGTTTTGTTTTGTGTTTCATGTTGTGTTTCATCTTTTCATGTTTTCGTCTGGTGTTTAATTTAATTTTAATAGTTAGTCACTGTACGAACTGTTGCTAGTTATTTAGGCGATAAAAGCATTGTGAAATAAATTGGACATATAATATACAAAATATATAATAAATTAAATATTAATTTAATTAAATTAAAAATTTTGAATAAATTAAATTATTAATGCCTTTAATGGTAAAAATTTTTTACTATTTTTATTTAATTTTTTACTATAAAAAGAGTTTAAAAAATTATTATAATCATCAGACTTTAAAATATTTATTTATATATTTAATATATTATATTATATTATAATTATATGACACAATAACGAATAACAACGGAATATTATAATTATAAAAATATAGATTATATAATTTAGTCTTTTGAATTTTTAATAGAGGCCCCCTTTAGCCTACAAAGCTATCTTCAATTATATTTTAAAATTTATTTTTAAAATATCAAATTAGCATTTCATTTTAATGTGGCTTACAGGATAATAAATAACTTATCTTTGATTGAATGCTTTGAATAAATTTTACAAAAATGTTATAAAACCTTCTACTAATGATATAAATAATGATTGAGATTTTTTATTTCAACGTTTTCTTTAAATTAGGATATTCAAAAGCATTCAGTACACACACTTGTGTTTAGGTCATTAAAGAGGAGTCATGATATGTTTCTGTCAGAACAGTTGGCACCACTACCGAAGGAGGAAAGATTGTAAGGAGTTGTTATTTTTGTTTTCTTTGCTTCCATTTTCTGTATTTTTTTTGTTTGTCTTTGTTTTGTTTTGTTTATTTTACATTATTTTTGTTATTTGAAAATATTATAATTTTTATTTTTTCAGAAATAAATTCATTCTTGCTTATAAGACAAAAGACAGTCACAAAAATATTACAGCAAGTTAGTTTGAAAGTTTTTGATGCTGTGGTAAAATTTTGTTAAAAAAAATTTCTTTTAGTAGTTTATGTAACAGTTACTCTCTGGCAGTCTGATTGTTAATAATTGTGATTGTGTGTGCCCAAAATGTAATGATTTATACATTTTCACATCTTGAAAATTCAACGCAGAGAAAGACGATGTCCCGAACAATGTTGAGTGAGTTATCTTTTTTTTTCAGTTTTAACTTAGCATATAATTTATAATTTTGTTGTTAAAACTTATGTGAACGAATGTTTTACAATGAATGTAAGTTACATGAAAAATGTTATTTGTTTGAAATGCTGTCTTTCAGGACTGTAAATAGCTTTACTATATTTAACGTAGTTCACAAACATTTAAACGTGCAATTTCAACTGTTGATATATGGCGGATGTGGATACATAAAATATAGGATAGCTTAGACTTTTAAACTTTCTTCAATTTAAATATATTTTTTTCAAAGTTTAACTGTGCATAATCAAGCTGCACCTGCAATGTTTGGCAACCGAGCTTTAATCAGTATTGGTGATCAGAACATAATTGTCCCGAAGAAAGCTCCCACCATGCCCAAACCTACCTGGCATGCTCCTTGGAAACTATACAGGGTTTCTACCATTTTGTTTTGCTGCACAATTAAAAATTTGTTTTTAACTTTTTTATTATTTATTTTAAAATTCACTATGTTAAATTTAGTAGCAATTCTTAACTTCTTCTTTATATAATATAATAATCTTTATGTATTTTATACTTTTGTGCATGTATTTTGTGACTTAATTTTTTACTTTTATTATTTTCATTTCCACTTCTTTTAATTTCTTCTATCTTCTAACTCGAACAAACTCTGTATTATGAAATAAAAATTCTCTCAGAATTAATTTAAAATGTTGCAGGTGATAAGCGGACACGGGGGGTGGGTGAGGTGTGTTGATGTCGAGCCAGGCAATGAGTGGTTCGTCACTGGGTCAGCTGATCGTATCATCAAGGTTCTTCTTGCTTTTTTTTCCAGATTTGTTATATTGTTTTCAATCTTAATGGCTGGAGTAATTTGTGAGAAGCTGATGGGATTAAATTGATTGTTGCTTCATCAATTAGATTTATATTTGTTTCATCTATCTTGACTTTTGCAGCTGCTAATCTAACAGAGGTTCTATTAATCATAAATGTAATTTGACAAATATCATCACATCAAAATTTTTAAACTTTTAAAATCTTACCTAGATTTGGGACTTAGCGAAGGGCACGTTGAAGTTATCGCTAACTGGGCACATAAGTACGGTCCGTGGTGTCATGGTAGGGAAAAACCAACCATATTTGTTCTCGTGTGGAGAGGATAAACAGGTTAAGTGCTGGGATCTGGAATATAACAAGGTGAGCATCACTTAGAGATTTTTTTCCCCCAATAAACAAGACAATTATTTAATTTTTATTATTTTTTCGGTTTAAATTGTAATTAAATATAAAAATTGAACTCAGGTTATTCGACACTACCACGGCCACCTCAGTGCCGTATACGGGCTGGACTTGCATCCGACCATCGACGTGCTGGTCACCTGTGGCAGGGATGCCACTGCCAGGGTTTGCCAATTTGTTCAATTTATAAATAGCTGCTGTTGATTTCTACACATTTAAATTTACCTGTTGTCACTTCTAGTTTCAATTTTGTTGCTGTTCGGTTTTAATAGTTTTTTTTTCAAACTGTCAAATTGTTAATATTATTGTTTATTTTTTTTTTTGGTAACAAATAAAATAAAATTAGTTTTAAATTGTGGTTTCTTAATAAATCATCTCTCGGTGCATTTTTCAGGTGTGGGACATGAGGACGAAGGCACAAATCCACTGCCTTTCTGGTCATACCAATACTGTCTCACAAGTCAAATGTCAGGCTTCTGAACCTCAGGTGTGAAAATTATATAGCACTGCAGCACACACAAATACACACACACACACACGCGCGCGCGCATGCAGACACCACAAGTGTATGAAATTTTTACTACTCACCCACACACACACATACATGAAATTTTGATAAATGTGCAATGTATAAAATGAAAATTATGCTTTACCTTCATATATTTTCATTGAGTATCGTTGCCACTTTGTTAAATTTGCATTAAAGTTTAATGCTTTCTAAGTTTGGCTTACTTACTGTACTGGTTGGTTGGTTACATGATTGGTTACTTCTTACCTGCAGGTAATCACATGCTCGAACGACTCAACGATAAGGTACTGGGACCTGGTGGCCGGCCGATCCATCGTAACGTTAACCAACCACAAGAAGAGTGTCAGAGCCATTGCTATCCATCCGACGTTGTGAGTTCTATTAAACTGACGGTCGCCATTTGAAATAAATTTGTGTTTATTGTCGAAATTATTTTTTTTTTAAATTCATTTGAAAAATTTAATAGAAACAATTTATTTAAAATCTTTTAAAAATAAAATTAGAAATATGATGGCTTCCGGATCGCCGGACAACTTGAAACAATGGAGGTTCCCCGAGGGTAACTTCGTTCAGAACGTCTCAGGCCACAATGCCATCATCAACTGTCTGGCCATCAATAGAGATAATGTGATGGTTTCCGGAGGTACACTCATTCATTCATTCTTTCACACTTTTGCTCTATTCATTAATTCATTCAACCATTCATTCATTCATTTATTTTCCATGAATTAATACTTTTATTTTTGCTTTATACTATATTTACCAAAATTTTTTTTTTGTATTCTAAAAGTTTTTTTCGTTTCATGGCGAGTTGTAATATTTTTTTTATTTTATAAATTTATTTCTTCCAGGTGACAACGGTTCCATGTATTTCTGGGATTGGAAGTCAGCGTACAACTTTCAAAAGTATCAAACCGCCATTCAGCCTGGCTCGATAGACTCGGAGGCAGGCATCTTTGCCATGACCTTCGACAAGAGCGAAAGCAGGCTGATAACGTGCGAAGCTGACAAAACAATTAAGATATACAAGGAGGATGAAACAGCCGTTAGGACTTCCACAATTTTTTTCTTACGTGATTGTTTGCTTGCATAATCCAACATTTGCCATTGATTTTTTTTTATTTTCAGTTGAATCTTTTCTTCGTTGTAAATTCTTTTCTTTTTATTAATTTCATATTAACAGTCTTCATTAATTGTTTTAATTTTATCCAGTCCGAAGAAACCCATCCTCTCAATTGGAAGCCCGAGATCATCAAACGGAAATATTAATTTTTTTAAATTTTATTCTATGAAATTGTTTCAATTGGATAGTGTCTTTTATGAATGAAAAAATTAATTATTAAGTTAATTAATTAATCAATTATTAAATAAAACAATATTTTTTGATTGTGATAATAAAACTTTTCAAGCCAACAAGGAAAAATTTGCATGTGATTTGATACTCGATTCTTGGCCAACTTTTAAAACCGTTCATACGATCTTAAAATGTCCTCGATGACCGTTTTATCATTCCGCATTTCATTTCAATTAGTTCAAAACAACCGTCTAATGTCCTCGATGACCGTTTTATCATTCCGCATTTCATTTCAATTAGTTCAAAACAACCGTCTACCTTTAACAGCAAAAGCTACCTATTACATAATCATGCACAAAAATGTTCTCATTTTGCATTTACAACGGATTTCCGGTCAACTGCAAATTGGTATATCTGGAATGCAAAATAGCGACAACACATTGAATACCGTAAAATAGTCAGTTTGCCGAGGTTTTGTCATCGGAAAGATTTTCAAAGTATTTTTAAAATCATTAAAACGCACACTATTTATACAATTCATGCTGTCATAATTTTCTTACGTGAGCAAAATATGATTCAAACTCACTAAACAATACACCACCTAACAAGCAGGTTCGTTATCAGGGACGTCATTTCAGATTTTGGTTGGGGGTGGCGAACTTATGTGGTCTATGACTTAGCATGTAACATTATATATATATATATATATATATATATAAATAAAGATCACGGCGTTTCTTACAGTACTCAATCTATATGATAGTTTCTCGATTTTTCGAATAATTCTCCGATCTACTAAACTTAACTTGTTAATGCTATTAACAAAATTCCTATTTACAGAAGATGTCATTATCTACATGTATGCATATAGTACTATTTCCACTACCTAGTCTCGTCAGTGCAACATTATAATAAATTATACATTTTTAAAGTTTTTAAAATTTCAAAATTTTTAATGTTTTAAAATTACTAAATTATGTATCTTATATATATCCTTTTTTACAAAGAATTTAAAATTAACACTTTTATAATTTAATACAGAACATGAATTATTGTCGGAGCAAATGAAATAAATTGTATAGCGCTTGACATTTAAAAATTCAAAAAGCACAATATTTTGTATATATAATTATAATAAATTATATAATTTTATATAATTATTTTATAGTGTTTGCAATTTTGTCATAATTTTGTACAGCAAAAATTTAGAATTTTGATTCCCCCCCTGCCTCCCCCCAAATGACGCCTCTGGTTACACTTATTCCTGTACAGACACGCGCCAGTTACAAATTTTTCACGATGCCAAACGAAAGAACGACGTACTGGCACAGTGAAGTCGAAGTAAATACAATGAAAAAGTGAATATGCGCGCGTGCTTAATTAATAATTTTTTTAAATCGATTTTTTAAATTTTTAATATCGCATATTTATGCGTTTGTTTTTTGGTTATCCGCTGACGTACAGCACAGAAACTCCAGTCCTGCTTCTTTAAATGTGCTTCCAAGCAAGCAAGCAAACAACATCGTGATCCCACGCGGGCAGGCACACCTGTTTTTTGACTTATTACCAATGCTTTAATAGTATAACGACGGATTTAACCGGATGTTCAAAACAAAATTTGCTTGGAAAGAAAAAAATGAAGTACACTAAAACCAAAGTAACCGTTTGCGTGATCGTAATAATCAACTAATTTTACCAATCCGATTTAGCATTAATCACCAGGCTGTTATAATTTGCATTCACCCACGGTGGTGGTATCGTTGAAAATGTTTGCCGTTTTGAAACTCTGCTTAAATGCATTTTTAATCATTTGCGCGCATTGTGCACTCACATTTTTCGAGTCGTGGTTTCCGTCACTCAGCTTCAACACGCGCGTCTAAAGGTGGAAAGGGCGGCTGGTGAAGCGCAGAAAGCGTCCACTAATTTTGGATTTTAATGAGAATGCTGGAGACATATCATTTGACGCGTTCCTTCCTGTTCTCGATGTCATTATCGTTATTTGTAATTGTTTCCAATATTTTCATATCGTATTCTTTCTAGGTGTCAAATTATTTCATATTGTAATAGTCTGCCAAGTGCACAAACAATTTATTTCATTCATTGAGGAACAATTAAAATTAAAATAAATTACTTATGTTATATTGAAAATAAAAATCATAACTAAGGTTATATCAAAGATGAAAATCATAGCTACGAATATGAATTGTATTATGGCTACAAATCTCAATTACAAGCAACAACAATTACAAACATTCCATTCATTCCATGCCAGAACAACAAACAAAATGCAAACAATTAAAAATTTAAAATCAAGCAAACAAAAAGAAACAATTTGTTGTTAGCCACCGCTGTTAAAACCGTTGAAGCCGTCTACTCATGATACGGAGCCAACGAATGAGACACAGACATGAGTCGGATGGTTTCAACTGCATTAACATACGAAGTTCTGATCATAAATTGAAAAATATCAAACAGTTTAACGGTAAAACAAAACATAGTTATGATGGTTTCGTAAACCCCTTGCTGTTTAAACATTTTTGTTTTACCAACAAAGTGATTATGAAGCCGTAACTATTTTCAAGTAGCCTACCTACGACCACCGTTGATCTCCAAATCAAATTAAATAAAAAAACACTGAATGGATATAAAAGTTTGAAATGAAGAATGAAAATACTGATTGATTTCTAACATTTCAGTTAAAATCAGCAAAAACCATCACTCGTGATAAGGAGCCAACGTGATAGCACGAGCCGATGGTTTTGCAAACACAACTGCATCAAAAAAATGAAAGTAGTTCACGTAAAATGTTTGATGACATACAAAGGTTCCATATGTAATGTATGTAACGAATTATAAGAGTGGCCTGTTGAAGTTTGATCGAATAGTATGCGGCCAATTAGTGGATCTATCGTTATCGTATCGTATCGTATTTGAATGTTCCATTGATTTGATGGGGGATGTCTCTCCACATCTGATTTGTTAAGGATGACCCCTGCCCATCACAATTCGAAACATTCGATACTTCACTATCTTGCTGATGTATCCGCTACGTGGCCTCAAACTAAGTTGATCCTTGTTTCAATTCAATAAAAACGTGTAATATAACGTAACAAAACAAATTAAATTGATAAAGCAGAAAATAAATTAATCAAAACTTTAAAATAAATTAATTAACGAATGATATTTGACTTTGAAGATAGCAATGTATTATTTGATTTAAATGTATAGAAATGTAGTTGAAGTATAAAAATAAACAGAGATCACGTACAAGTCAACTTAACTTTAAAAGTTTGAAATAACGAAACGTCAAGATAGTGAGCACAACGAATTTAAATTTTAAATTACTACTGAGCAACTCGAGCAAATATTGCTAGAAATTCAAACACCACAATATTTACTAACATCATAAATATCATGGGACTCCTGTTTGTCCTTCAAATGGCTGATGAAATGATCTGGTCCTTCTCAACAATCATCACGTTGTTTTCAAGTTGTTGTTCGGGGTTGTTGTTGTCAAGTTGTTATAAGGGGTTGTTGTTGTTAAGTTGCTGTCCGGGGTTGTTGTCAAGTTGTTACCAAATTGTTGTTTGAGGTGCCAAAGATCGCAGGCAACCAGGCAGATTGGCAAAGCAAAGAATTATGAACGGACCCATCCGAACAATTTTCATTGTTCTGAGGCATCTTTACTTGCCGAGCCACCTGGTCACACGTTCGACCAATTCGAAACGAAACGGTACGAAATTCGATCAATTCGAAACGAAACGAAACGGTACGAAATTCAACACAGAAACACACAAACAAGCTAACAAGCCTTAAAAAGATTGTCACAAATAACGATCCAAAATTTTGAGAACCAAAGCAACCGAATGAAACTACAGTGAGTTCGTAAGCTTATAAACATCCCAATTCATTATTACTTAACCATACACACATGACAAAAATGAACATCGACGCACGCACATTCAATACAACTCTGTATGAGTACTTTTACATGTAGGTCCATAAGTTACACACATCGTTAACCAATAACATACTTTCCTGACAAATTAATCATGCTTCGGTTAAGATATTAGAAGGCGGAGCTAAGAAACGCCACCTATTTCGTTGTGGATATTGCTTAATTAATCCAACAAAATATAAAATTGTATATAATTGAATTAATTTGTATTTTGTTACCTAATTCAAATGAATTTGTTTGGTGTACGTATGATATCTTGGGTTAAAAAATTTGAAACAGATGTTTATTTATTTGCAATAATATATAATTGTATGCATTGTATGCATGATTAAAATTGTTTAAACATTATTTTAATTGTTTGGTTTTAATATTAACACAATATTCGTTCGTCTTCATAATTGCTGGTTGCACCACATTTAATTGGTGTATTAATATGGTAATAATTATAAGAATGATGATGATGATAATAATAATAACAATAATAATAACCATAATAAATTATTACAATTGTTGTTATTTAGCAATAATCACTTAACTATCGATTTTGAAAAAAAATATTATATGTGAACTTTCGAAATAATTTTAACGGAGAAGAACCTGAATTTATAAAATTACTCGTCACATGACCATCTTCGTAATCGTCATCGTGATTGACGTCATCATTGTTGTTATTATCACCATCATCTTCGTATTATCACATCGTCGTCTTCATCATCTTCGTCATCATCATTGTCATCATCATCGTCATCGTAAAACTGTCGTAAAATTGTCATTTATAATCATCTTGGTCACATTGTCATCATAACATGTTTGTTAGCATCATCGTCGTCATCGTCGTCGTCATCATCGTCAGCGTTGTTATTTTTATTACAAAAATTTGGCAAGAGCTTGTTTATAAAACACACAAACAATTATAAAGTAAAATGAGATATTGAGGGGTCGTAATAAATTTGGTGGTGAAGAAAATGAGAAAGAGAGAGAGAGAGAGAGAGAGCGAGAGAGAGAGAAAGAAAGAGAGAGAGAGAAAGAGAGAGAGAGAGAAAGAAAGAGAGAGAGAGAGAAAGAAAGAGAGAAAGAAAGGAAGAAAGAGAGAAAGAAAGAGAAAATATGAAAAGAAATAAGTGGGCGAAAGAGTCAAAAAAATTAACAAATTTTGTTTTGTATGTTAGAAATTACGTGACAAATATATAATGAAAGAAGGATGGAAGACGGTACATTGAAGAATGATAAGAGATTTAATAAAAGAATGAAAGAGAGAGAGAGAGAAAAAGAAAGAAAGAGAGAGAGAGAAAAAAAAAGAGGTAAACAAGAGATTTGGATGAATAAAATAAATAAATATTTCGGTTAACTGTTGTCATTGGAAA